GCCTTTGCGGCGGATGTTTGCTGCAAATTCTTTCGCGGCAAACGACTAATATCCATTTCAAATGATGCTTCCTTTATTTATCTCTTTCGATCAATTTTTTTAACGCAGAAATTCGTCTTTCGTCATCCGTCTATCGTAAATATGCGTTCGATTGTTGCTCGGTTAAATACCTAAGTGCAAATCGTAAAATCTCGTCGTTTAACGCCTCGATCAATATTACGTTTGAGTAATATTTTTCGATCGAAAGTGACGATCGCGGTGGTAGCAAGTATTTATTCGATGTATACTACGAGTTTAAAACTCGATACATGTTAAATCGAACGACGGCATATAATGTAAAAAATAACGTAGTTAAGCGACAAAGGTTGACGTTGTGCGATCGAAGGAAAAGAATAACATCGAAGCGATAAAGCGAATAATTTAATACCAGTTCGATATATGAAAATGTTCGTTTCATCGCGATCTCTCGTATAAATATACGTGTAAATACGATAATGAGCAAACGATTTAAACGAAATTAAACAGAATTAATGTCATTTTGCATCGTGATTCATCTTTTGAAATTACTTGAACGAGTAACTATGCGATTCATTCGTCATTGCATCCGTTTATCAAAGCTTACGATATTAAACGCAAGTTTACGATGTTAAGATTGGAAGAAAGAAAGAACTCGGCACGTATATATATTGGAACGGAGTTGGTATGTAGGAGGTTGTACAGGTGGCAGCAACAGTCACAGATCATTGGGTTCCATGCTACGAGTCGTGTGCCGCAAAGCGTGGCAATCGATGCTCAGGCACGTTCGCCAGCCCCGAACCTCTCTCTCCAATCTGGCTAACAGTCGCTAACCTGGCCAAACAACAGTCTCCAGATACGGTATAAATTGAAGCAATTTGCATAACATGTACGTTTCCACGCTTCTCGCATGAAATTCGTCGCAATAACGTGCAGACTTGAAATTCATCTAATTTCTATTTTCTACTTCGTTGCACGAAATTTTATCGGTTACGTACCGATAATAATTTGATAAATAATAATTCGATAAATCGGCAAATGTACGGCATTCTTACTACGATTCAAAATCTAAAAAATATCCGTTTACTCGATCCATCATCTTCCGTAATCTCGCAGTCGATAACTTACAGTTACCACCTCGAATCCCTTTACAGACGCGAACAAATTCGAATCCATAAATGTTGGTAGACTGCACATTTTCATCGTATCTCGTAAGAATCACGGTTATTTATTTGTAACGGACTTTTCCACATTGCGAATCTTCTCCAACAGATCTTCTCAAGTTGCGAATATGTACGATGCCAATCAATTCGCGTATCATTTTACTTGCACGTATCTATACATATAAAAGATTAAATTCTTCTCCAATTGTTCGTTTTAATCATCGTCCATACGTTATTTCGCTATACAAGTTTTATTTAGGTTATTCTTTCAAAATAAGGATTTTCGATCGAACAGTCAGTCCATCGAAAGCGTAATCCGTTAAAGATAGATCTGAAACGAAGCGAATCGTTCTTTAACGAATCGTGTTTATTCTCGCGTTTGAACGAGAATTCTGAAATAATAGATTTTTTTTTTATCGTACTCCGGACAAACCGATTGCTGCATAATTCATACAAACGGCGAACCACGCCAATCGACCACGAAAAGACTTATCGACGAATCGTAAACTCGCACAGACACGAAAAAGTGTTTCGATTCGATTTTGGAAAAAAAGGATTGGCACACGAGTTGGATACACGAACGATATTTATATCTATGGCGAGCGATGCAATGGTCGTGTAAACTCTTCTTCGAATTTCAAGTTCTTTTAATCTTGTTTCTGTCGCTCGTTCAAGTTCAAGGTGAATATATTTTTAAAGAAATCGAATCGACTTTCGCTCTGTTTGACCGAACGAAACGCAAATCGTCGTTAAAAGTTTATCAAAGTTTATGTCGTTCATATACATATGATATACGGGAATGAAATGATTTTCATTCATCCCCAGAGAGGAGGGAATGGTCGTATTATTTAACGTTAATCGTAAAATTAAATTATTTCGCGTACGAATGCCTTTACATTGCAAATAAATCGTCGTCGAACTGTTGTAAAGAGAAACTTTGAAACTGGCAACGTAATCTTCGCCACTTTGAAGATGCCAATTTGGCTTAGAAGCCTAATTCCATAGTCCTTCCCTATCGTGTATAGAGAGGAAGCTAAGAGGATTACGGTTATACATAATGAATGAATTATGAGGTTGTCCAAGGATGAAATGACAAGTTAATCAGGCTCGTTTACATCCTTGTAACAAGCCAATTGCGCGATACGCGTTATTTTACATTTCGACATTTTTTCAATAAACAATCAAATACATATTTAACTTCGATTCTCGAGCGTGATTATTTTTTTAAGATACGATCAACTTAGATTAAACGAAAATAATTTTAATCCAATACAAAGAGATCGCGATTCGTTACGCTAGGAGCCATTTTCTATAATTTGCAATTCCGATTGTTAATTGACGTTAGAGATATTTTGGATATATACTTCAAAAATGCTATTTGATTCGAATCGCTCGACACGCATTCGATTACGCAGTGTTAAGTTTTACTCTTCGCTTCGTCTTTTCTTTATATTTTATATTTTAATTATTTTCTTAAAAAAAAAGTGGTTATCCGGTGTGAAAATTGAACCGATAAATTTGCTTCCTCTTTCTAGAGTAGAAATATAAAGTCAATACGCGAG